ATGCATTAACCTGCACACACAGGCAAACACGGACTGCCCCCCACCCCTCGGAGAGATATTCCCTATGTGCTGGGATTTTTGGTGGACTGCAGATGTTCAGCAATTAATTCTCCCTTAATTGATGCAAAAAAGCAGCAGCAGAAGAAGAAAGCTTTAATCCTAGAGAAGCAGCTAAGGGATCCTGTTGACAAAGCAGTTTTTCCAAAGCCACAACAGAGGGAGACACCGGATATTACACAAGCTTTATCAAATTCAAAAGATATCTTCTTAATTGAAGTACTAGCTGCGTTTCCATCACAAGGACTATGCACCCCGTTGTTACTCCTATCAGCAATATCTATTGTAACATGCTGTTTGGAAATCAAGTGATTCCTGCAGATACGGCTGCTTTACATATCTACAGAGCAGAGAATCTCCCCACCTAAATGCTACAGGTAGGTTGCAACATTGCAGATCTGTGGGCATTTTAAGGGGGAAAAAAAATCAAGCAAATGAAGTAATTAATATCTGAGGAAATGTGAAACAATCGAGAGAATTTGTTCGAGTTTGATGAAGAAGCTCTCTAAAATATATATATATATACACATGTAAAAGTTCTCCACAGATCATAAATAAGAGTACTGTATTTTGCTACAACAGCCGAGATGTCCCATAGCAACTCACAAGCGATCTTGGAAATCAGACAGACTGCAGACGTCTTGCACGGACAGATTTCAACAAGTAAACAAATGCTGCTCAGCTCAGAATTAGTTTACAGCTTGAACTTTCTCATCATTTCTCATCATTAGAGAGGTCATTATCGTGGGTAAATCTGAGTAAAACATTTCCATCCGCCTTCCCTCACCCCAAGTGAATAATTCACACTTACCTAATCAGGCTCGATCTGAAAGCTGAGAGGGGTCACAGGCCAACAAGGACTGAAAGGTTAGAAACAGATTAGTGAAAGCAGTTCCTCCTAATCACGTTTTCGGTGTTGACTCACGGACAATCCCTTTTCCTCCACCTCCCATCGCAAGACAGGGGAGCGCGGCAGCCCAGCAACCACAACATGAGAATTAAGCTTTAACCCGGCGCCGAGGATTCAGAGGGAGCAGGATTCAGGCGGTCCGGAGGCTGGGATGCCGCGGAGAATCCCCGGTGCCAGCAGCAGAGTCATCGCGGCGAACTTGGGCTGCATCTCCTCAGGTCTCGGGGCGGGGGGGGTGTGAGAAAACAACCCATCTCTGTCCCCTCCCTGTGCCCGGCGGATCTCCTGCGGCTCCAGCTTTGCCACGGCGGGGGAAGGGGGGGAGCGAGCGCGGGTTAGGCGGGAGGCAGGCGGGGGAGGGCGGGCGGAGGAGCCCCGCGCCCGGCGGGCGGGCAGCCCCCGCTCCCCTCCGGGGACTCCCCGGGCCGGGGGCCGGGCATGCCCGCGCCGCGCAGCTCCCTGCCCGCTCTTATTACAATTAATTTTTTCTTTTGGGGGGGGAGGGGGGAGAAGAAAGAGGGAAGAGCAGGGAACAAAAAAACCCCCCAAAATAATGCAGGGGCGGGGCGCCCCCGCCCCGGCCGCTGCCCCGCCCGCCGCCAGCTGGGGCGACGGCTCTCGGCTCCCCCCTCAGATCCAGTGGCTTCCCTCAGACCCGCCGCCTCGGGCTCCCCTCAGCCGGGCTCCCCTTAGCCCGAAGCCCCCAAGATCCACCGGCTCCCCCCTCACCGCCGCCGGCTGGGGCTCCCTTCAGGCGGGTTCCCCCAGGCCCGTCGGCTCCCCTCAGATCCACTGACTCCCCTCAGATCCGCCGGCTGGGACTCCCCTCAGCCCGGCTCCCCTCAGGCGGTCTCCCCTCAGCCCCTCCGCGATCCCCAGCTCCGGCTCATGCCGCTGCCCCGGCGGTGCCCGGGAAAACATCCCCAATGGCCGCGTTATGGAAACTTCGCCTCATCTTCCCACAGGCGGCTGCGCTGGGGAAGGGGCGCCTCGGCTCCCGTGTCTCGTGCTGTGCTACATTAAAAATCAATCTCCTTGCAATTCGGCTGCGCTGTCATTAGGCGTCATTGTAAAGCTGTTTCTCCAGAAACCACCGAAGGAGAGACTCTTGGCGTTGGGGAAAAACGCGGGGCCAACAGAAGGACGGAGAAACTGGGGGGGTTTATTTGGATAAAACGCCGAATAATGCTCCGTTTGGGCGCAGGCATTAACGATGAGCCTGCGAGCCCGCAGCGCGGTGCTGCCCCGGCCTTCTCCCGCAGCGCCGAGCGAGGGAGGCGCTCACGTCCAGAGGCAGAGCCTGCCGTCGGCGCCCGCGGACAGCAGGAGCCGCGGGCCGTGGAAGCGCAGGCAGCGCACGGCACCGCCCGGGCCCCGCAGCGCCGAGAGCTGCCCCGCGTCCCGCCGCAGCACCCGCACCGAGCCGTCGCTGCTGCCCAGGGCCACCACGCCACCTGCAAGGCAGAGCAAAGGCATCGAGGTTGGCAAAGGCCGCACAAGAGAGCGGCGCTCAAGTTCTGAGGTCGTGGTTTTTTTAAGACAACCCCCCCCCCCCCCCCCCATGTGTACTCCTGTTGGACGGATCAATAACAGTGAGATTGGATTTTGCAGCGATAAAGCGAATCTGGAGACCCCGGTGTTCTCCTCATTAGGAGCACGGCTGTTTTACTTGTATTTGGACACAGTTATTCAAGCCCAGATTCTGACACACAGACTGAGCACCAGAGAAGTAGATGCTCTTCTGATACCTGGAGGTATCAACATCAGACATGCTTTTAATGCTGCTTTTCTTGTACCACTGTAAGACATGAAGATGCGAATTTTCAGCTGAATTTCCAGGTCAGGTTCTAACTGAACTAAGGGTCTTTCTCCCTTATATCCTTACCGAAAAACCTGATGATAATTACATTGTTAGTATCAAATTGGGTCTAACCATAGGAAAAAAATAAAAGAAAACCTAAAAAAGGTTCTAAGGAGTTCCTAGTTTCCATGTGTTTATTTACGAACCAAACTCAGTTTTCATCACTCTTAAAGAAGCAGAATTTGTTTATAAGTTTATTATCTTCATCCTTAAATAAAAGCAGAGGTAACAGCTGGTAAGTGATATTTTGAAGCACCTCTTACTTACCCAGCCCCCAGATATAGATTCTCTCCTTTAAAAATGAACTATAATAATCATGAGTTTCACGTACCAAACGAAAAAAAAAAGGGAGATCAATACACTCATTTTAAAGCTGATGTGGCCCTACCAACAACAGGATCACTCTACTGCCAACCATGATCTTGGTCAAACACCTTTTTCTATTAGGAGCAAGTTCAATATACCCTCCAAATGATTACAGTTTTTTATGTATCGAGATTTGCTCTCTGAAAGCAGACAGCACCAACAGAAGAATAATTAATATGGACACTGACAAAGTCAGTCTGGCACCAAGGTCATCATTTTGGGGAAGATTATGAAAAACAGGAGATATTTTGCTATTTTCAGTCACTCAGGTTATTCACCAAGTGGCCAATGGGAACATACTGCCCAACAGAAGTGAGTATGGAGGAATCTGTCCCAGTTTTAACAATATGGGAACCATAGGGCCTTGGGTGTGCCTGTGTGATGAACAGTTTATCCAGGGAATATCCTGTCCCTCCATTCAAACTAAGTCATAACAATGATGTTCTCTGCTCTGCCCATGAAGATCTGATGGCTTCATTTCT